GTATCATTGTTCCGATTTCATGAGACGGAAACTTATAGTAAAGAATCGACTATTCGTTCAGTAAATTACAATAGCCGCTTCTTAACTTGAGCTCATCGATGACATCAGATGCTCTATAAATTGTGTAAAACGATGCAATCGATGTATTCTGCGCTGATAGACAACTTGATAAAACTTATAATCCATCACTTTGCTTATGGTGTATGTAGAACCGTAGTATTTTGTTTATCCGATCAAGTTGGACTGCCCTCCTCCCGAACACAATGAGACGAAACAAACGGAGCAGAGAACGATTTGCTATTCACAAAAGAGACAGACGGACTTAACACTAATTGAGCGGTTGCTGTCGGAAGTGATGCGGCACGTGCGCCGACATCTGCGGAGCGCGCCCATCATCTGCCACCCGAGGAGGAAAAAACCGACTCCCCCTCGGTGCCTTCTTCGGCTTGTTGATTCTAGTGGTACCTTCTTCAGGTAACTTCGAGCTTAAATGGCGAAGCATGTCAAAAATAAGTAGTGAATCAAGAGGGACACGAATGTGCAACTGAGGAGGGTCTTCTGCAAAACACTGGACGGTACAATGGATGGATTCACAGGTATGCACTCATGGAATACTAAAGAAGGTATGTCTAAAATGTATAGAAACAAGAAAATATAAAATGGGGAGAATGAGATTAAATAGGTACATAAAATGCTTTCCAAATCCGTTGAATGTAAAATTAATTTGTTTTCTAAAATAGAAGTCAAGCAAAGATTTTGTACCGCAGGGATTTAATAGTAGGTATAAACCTCGAATTGGCGGAAATTATTCGATTAATTAATTATTAATTAATATAATAGGAACCACACTTACAAATGTAAATCACAGGGTCATCAAGTAGGTGGGGAGAAGGAGGAGGTTGCATCAGGGCGTAACGGCTGATGGGTCGCCAAGGATTGGGAAAGAAATATAATATTTATAAAAATTGGAATATTTCTATCCATATTTCAATTTCTTTTTTATTCCTGTTCACCTCTGCTAGACATTACACTGATTAATTGAGTAACAAGAAGTATTGAGTCCGGGACTAAATTTGGGATGCAACTTCATCTCGTTGGGACGGGAAGGATGCATAAAACAATAGCTTTTGCCTGGATACACTGTTTACGAAGGTTTGAAAAATGATGATTGACTGATTTCCTATGTTGGGCATGCGGAAGGCTTGAGACGTGACTTGTATACGGTGGATCTCGAAGTAAAAGAATTAGAACAGAAACATAAAAAAAACCTCAAGCAGAATACTCTGCTTTTATTTATTTTTGTATTTTGAGTTAAACAATATCAGTAATATTTGCATGAATATAACGTTTGAAAAGTAATAGCGGAAATCACAAGTAATTAGGATTTATAGTTTCAGCCAGATCTTAAGAACCACAATAGTTACAGAAAATCTAGATTTATTTCGCTCGACAAACGTGCAAATCGTAGCACTCCTAGTAACATCTATCCCCATTGTTTGCTAGCAATACAACAAACAAAGCAGAAAGTGCCGACTAAGCTGCTTTGTCGGTTGGTTGAGGAAGAGCTAATTCATCTGCAGACTAACTCGACCATTGTTAGTGACTGTGTCCAATCGCAAAGGCCCCGAGACACCGCCGTACTACATCTCTTCAGTTTATCTAAATCTCGTTAGGATAGTTTGAACATCGAAAAATTTAATAAATTAAAAATTTTGTAGTGTCTTAAAATAGTCATTGAACTGTCTACAAGTTCGAAATAACATATCGCTAAGAATAATAGTCTCCATATTTCCGGAATTGTGGAATATGATTAAATCTCTTCACAGGGTTTCAGAATAGACTCTTTTAATCGAATAAGAGTGAAAAAAAAAATACAAATTAAACTTGTCCCCTCTTGAATTCTGTTGGATGGTGTTAAAAATGGTTTCCAACAGTTGTGTCCCATTGGTGTTCGGAAGGGCGAACCTCTTAAGGGTATTATGCGAAATAATTTTGTATGAAATTAAGTTTTGTACAAATCTAGTTATTACATCCAGTATTCGAACCCTTCAGAACTGTCAAAACTGTCAAAGCTTACCTTTATCGATAACATAAATATATTGTCGATAACATACTATTTTCAGAAAGAAAGTAGATACGCCAGGAAATATCAATGTTGAATTAATATTCGTTATTAATATTAATATTAATATTAATATTCGTATTCGTTATATTAGTTGAAAAAATAATTTCGTTTTTGGAACCAAACTGCTTAAAAATTAAAAGGGATATTATTAGTTATGTATGATTTATTTTGCATAGCATTTTTATTTTATATTTATTACACTGAAAATTACATAATATACTGAAAATAAATACAAATGAGATTGTATTTGATCTCGGAAATCGATATAAAAGCTGTTTTAAGAAAATAATAAATTAAAAATTTTATTTTATTTTTTTTTATGATTGCGAGTTTTGTAAAAGTTAATAATTGGGGTAATATCTACTGTTATACGATATCTCTCTGCACCTATTGGGCTTATTGCTTATGATGTTGTCACTGATTTCAGAAGGAATTAGTACCATAAGCTTGGTAATACTGCTCTCACTTACTGAAGGCTAAGAAGCTGCCTATAGATTGTTGCCAAAAGGCCAAGAAGATCAAACAACTTTTCTCCTGTGAGGTCACATATTGTCGTCAAGAAAATAAAAATCTGTGCCAATCATGAACCTGGTTTAAGGAATGTACTTCTCGATAATTGCTTGACCACAAAGAACCACAGGCGGATCTACGGGGGGGGGGAGAGTTTCCGGGCTGATTTAGGTTGGTTTGGGTATTGGTAGAACATTAGAAAGTTTACTTAGGTTCTGTCGGGCACTATGAACAGGATTGCTTCTTGCAATAATACCAATATCTCTGTCATCTCATGTTGGGATCCACTAACAGATCCCCTGTTCATACTTCCGATTTCTCTGAAGCAAGGGGAACCAAAATATAGGAGACGTCAACTGTATCGGCGATATCCACTTGCCGGTGCCCTTGACCGCTCATTCACGATAATATTGCGAAGTTATGGTTCAATATGATGTCTTTCCTTCCTTAAACAGAATAATGATGGATTACAATTAAGAAAAGTCGAGCACAACTGCTGGTTTACACAATCAGTAATCTCTATATTAACTATCCTTTATCTAATAATTTATTAAAAATAAAGAATACTTCTTGTTTACTTATTATGTTTACCAACAAGCAAATCCCTAACAACAAAAAAAATAAAATATTGCAGACAAAATTTATTGGGGTGTTCTGTAAAAAAAAAGAAAGAAGTAAAAATAAATAAATTATATTAATTTTTATTTTTGATGACGTTTTGGCCCAAAGTTCAGGCCTTCATCAGGGTTCACAAAAGGTTCCCATTAGTAAAATTAATGTATTTTAATTAAAACGAATCAAATTAAATTAAATAGAAATATCCCCATTCATTTTTGGACTGAATAGATCATAATGTTTTCTGGTTTTATGTCATATGTTCTTCGATTCCAAACAGGCTTTGAAATGGAGAAACGTAGATTAGTTATTGCTAGCTATATTAGGAACTAGAATTTGAGTCCTTATTATTAATCCATTTTTAAAGTTTACCTCAGAGTCAAAAGACAACAAAATCTACTAAGAGAAGAATAAGTCACATAATAAATATAAAAGAAATATTTAGGTTTAGTAAAGTGGTTACTCTTACAAGTTCATTTTAATATTTTTTTTTTTAGTTTTTGGGCACCATGGTGTCAAAATATGGGACAGATAGGCCATTATCCACCGAGACAAATCCTTTGAGAGGAACACTGGAGGCGCCCCCACAGGTACAAAGGAATCATGCCTACCGATGCTCCGTTAGAGTACCATTTCAAATTTCACAACTTTTTTATCACGACCCGCCAAAGGCAGGAGGACAAAAAAGTGTTGACAAATCATATCTTATTTTATACTTATCATATGATAATTTTTTAGGTACGGAATTCCATCCGATTGTCTCTGCCAAAAGATTTCCTTTACCTGAAGTTATTTTCACACACTAAATTATCGCGTTTTTTGAAAAATTAATTATTCAGAAACAAACTTTGGCCATTTTAAACACATTTTTGCATTATCTTCTATGATTTACGTTTAAGACAGCTTATTATTGCAAATAAACTAAGTTATAAGTAATATAAAATATTAGGTTAAACAAAAGTATAAATCCACTTTAGGATTACATTGCAATATTTATAAAGGGAATAACTTATGCTTAAACACAAACACGCTAAAAAAATTGGATACTGAGGCCACCAATGATACATTCAATTCCAAGTGTTGCAGCCTTCACCACACATTAATTCTTAAATTATATTTTTTTTTTCAATTCTTTATTTAGAATTAATACAATCACTCAAGATCTCCGAGCCAAGTCTTTCCACCCACTCATGGAAGGAAAGGCAGGACACTAGGAGATTCTAGTGCCTCTCACTTAGCCGTTTTACTGGTATTAAGGACCAATGAATTATAAAATAATTTTTTTAAGCTTTGTCCATAGCTTCCATCCAGATTTCTTGTGAGCAAGTTTACCAAAGGGAATGAGTTCATTCCCTCATCATATTCATACAATTAACAAGAAATAAAAGTATTTTATATTTCGCCAATATGTTTTTGTATTTTCACTTGTACATATTATTTTTTTCTTCACTTCCTCGCCTTTTAAGCTATAAGGGATTTCCTGGGCCAGAAGGTGAGAGTGGGGGATATGCACACGCGTTAGTCCGCTCAGGGCTATTTTATTTATTTTTTGAAAATATTTCGACCAGTCCATTACCATGAGGACTAAAATCAATAAGGAACACAGAAGAGATACGATAGATCGGAGACCAACTTACCAGAAATATGGTTCTATTTCAAATAGAATAACCGTAACGAAAGGTTAATTTGTGAATTTCTACAGCTCTAATCAGTTCCTCCTAATGGCTAATGGCTGAGATTGCTGATCAGGATGAGAACTCAATGGGCACCAGTGACGCCAGAGGACAGCAGCCGAGGCAATAAACGGCCAGAACTAAACGAGGTTCGATGTCGAAGCGCAATAAAGGGAGGCGGCCCAGAAATATTCAAGGGTGCTAATGCCTGGGTGCTAACGAGGGTCACCTGCACCAAGATAAGCACCACTAATAGAGACATCATTTGGTGATGACATCGGCACAACACGGCCAGCACCGTTAGGCATTCCTGCTTCTGCTACCTGCGACGTCCCGTCCTCTCTATCTAGTGCTACTATCGCCGATCTGCATCTGTTATTGATTGGAAGCAGTTCGGTGTCGCCTAACCACGGAGGTCATCGCCGAAGGTGATAGATATGGCTATTTGTTTGTGTTTGTTGGGTGCATAGGTAATCTTCAAAGGCTGCAGGAAGACACATCACCAAACTGCTGTAAAAAGTCAAATAAATTATTAGCTGACGAGAGATGATATATCTATGTTGTAAATTACAAAAGAATATGCAAATAATAACAATGTTATAATTTTACTGAAGCTGAGTTGTTGTATAAATAAACCTATAATTATGTTATATAAATTAATCAAATAAAGGAACCTATAGAATGTAAATAGCTGCAGCAAGATATAATAGAATGATGCCACATCCACTAAATCGTACTCGCCTCAAAAACTATGATATGCATAAGCAATAACAAATCAATTTGGATCCACAAGGTTACTGGATAAAAAGAGAGTAAATAATTTCGAGTGTCAGCAGTAAGTGCCGTAACAAGAAGTACCTCCTACCCAGGACCGGGATAAAATCTCGAATGAGGCCGCTTTGTATCTTCTGATTATATTCAGTAACAGTATCATACAACGTTAGCAAAGCTGAAGTTCGTTTCGGGTTCGGATCCGAGAGGCGAAGCGTTGTAGAGCCGAAATATGGTTATACAAGAAATAATTATCAATTTTAAGTTAAAAAAAAAAATCCTATGGTAATATGTCGTATATCAAGACTTCATAGTTTTAAATGCATGGAATTGAAATTTCTTTTAAACAATGATATTATTAAAAATGTAACCTTACCCAAACACGCCATAACAAATCGAAGATCCTCATCCAACCCAGCTATTTATTTTCATTATTTTCTTACCTACACTAGGTAAGGTAAGTATTGCGATCAGGTCAAATTCCCCATGGACGGTTTTCGACGGATCTGTACGTTTCACAGCCCCCTGACTTTGAAAAACACCTTTTCAGCCATTGCTCCGTCTGTCTGTCTGTCTGTGCCAAGATTATCTCGGGAACCAACAAAGCGATTTTGTTGCTTCTTTTTTTATTTTGTATGGTTTTGACAACTGATGCCTAAGACGAGTGAAGAGAGAGAAAAAAGAAAAATAAGTGTAAGTAAAACATTCTGGTGCCCGCATTACATAACTTTCTCTTTCCCCTGCACTTTTAACAGAAATTATTGTCTTAAAAAATCGGGCTATGGCAAACAAGTTTTTGATTAGCAATATTAGAGTGTATTGAATTTTTTACACTGATCTTTTACAAGCCGGTTTACATCGCTTTACTTTATCAAAGAAATCGTACTCAAATTTTTCCTTTGAATAATTTTCAGTATAAAAAATCTAATTCAATTCTTTCTTTTTTCTTAATGAACATATTTAAAGATATCAAAAACTTTTCTTCTGAAATAGGTAGGAAAGTCGTGTGAGTGGACACACGAGATTTTTTTCTTCTTGATCGTTTGTACAGCATTTATTCAACGCAGAAACTAAATAAAGTGGGATACAATATAGGTAGTTATAGGTTAACAACATAACTATTATACCTATCAGAAAATAAAAATTGAATTTATAACCGTAGGAGGTTAATATTTTTGCATATAAATTTAAACTGAAAAAGTAAAAAATTGAGACAAAAAATGAAAATGTTTGTTGTTCTTTAAGTTAAATTTGAATTTTAGTTTATGCCTTCTCTTTACCAGATGGTCAGATTGAGGTATTTATAAACTTACAATCCAACCATCTTATCAAACGCAATAAACAGTTAAAATAAAAATACATTTTAAATAATTATTACCAAGAAATAACAAAGAGGACAAATCCACTTCAATCGAAACTGCTGTTCAAGGGCTTAGGCAACTCAAAAACATTTACCCTGATGGCGGATTTTTTTTTTTTTTTTAATTTAAATTTATTTAGAGTTCTACCAATGGTTAGTTTCTCTTCATGTTGTACATGTCATGTTACCAATTTCACATTTACTTATTGTATTTTATATGTAATACAGTTGTAAATTCCATTAAAATAATAAAAAAAAAATATATTTAAAGCAGAGGGTATCCTTTTTTTGATACTTAAAAAATAACTATAATACTGCTGAGTTAAGTTCAATGAGTATTGTGGTTTGTGCCCAAATGTTCCCAATCTCGGGTTCAAGTCCGACAGTGGCAGATAATTATTATTAATTCCTTCATATCAGCTTTTGATCGAATCTAGGATTGGAAGACCCTTCACGACACACCCTTTCTCAATAAAGTAAATATAATTAATTATTTTTTTTAACACTGATTTATTTGTCTTATGGTTAGTATTAATTAATCAAATTAGTCTTTGATTGTAATTTACTGAAAGTTTCGGGGAATTTTCGTTCCCATTCTTCAGCAATATTTCATTCCCCCGAGAAAATGGGTGTCACGATAATTTAATATAATAGGATTGGTTCAATGGTTAATATACAACTCAAGTTGGAAGTTGAGGGAAACCCCTAGGGGTTGAGCGTATTCTCGGTAAAATTCATGCAGAATCGTTGGTCTAGAAACAATACTTCCTTACCGGCACTGAACCAAGCATGCAATGTAATGGAACAGAAAAAAAAATGCTTTTGCGTACAATCAACTGTCACCAAGCAGGCACAACCGAACGAAGGTGTAGAGTTTTAGCTTGTGCGAAAGGAACCTAATCCGAAAGGACAGGCGTCACTAGAAGCCACCATACTTTGTATCGTATTACCCGGCGCAGGCGCGCTTCTGAAGCCGGCAAGCTCTTAGGTTCCGTTTCCGTCAGTTTCCTGGGTTCCTTCCATGGGATATGTTCATGCATTCAATTATTTCCTTTATATTTTTGTTTCAAAATGAAATTACTTACAAATACAACAGAAAGAAAGTAGGTTTTTCAAGTGGTTAAAAAAAAAAACAGCGACAAACTAAAGAAAAATGGAGATGCAATTATTTTTCAAATATCAGAGTTTATTTTGCTTATATTCGCACAATTTTAATTAATATTCGAAGATGAACAATTCAATTGAATATGGTATGACCAAATTTACTTTTCGAACAACACCACTAGAAACCAAATTTTCTCTAAAATTCTAGCTTTAGAGATTTAGGAGATTTGATTTTATAAGATCTAAAGTAAAGTACCAAAGTAAAAAAGAAGTTGAGCAGGGCCTAGAAAGGGACAGATGGGGTACTATTCCTCGGCGGCAGAATAAAAAAGGCGACAAATTTCTAGAAATGTTTCTTTCAGCTTAAGTGAAAAATATTTATATCTATATGTTGGTTGTTTTGACCTTAATTCAGTCAATGACATGCGATCTGATTATCTTTATTATGAAAAACTATAGCTAAAATACTTAATTATTTAATTTTTGGGGAGGTGAAAGAAGGGACGAGAAAGCTAAGCTTGCTCCGTCAGGGAAAAATGGAAGCGATGTAGCTAAGGTACTGCACTTCTGACTCCACGCCCCGCAATCGAGTCTGGTTGTGGCAGAAAATTATTGATGACGTCAAATCAGGTTTGGGTTGACCTTAAGATCTGATTTTAGCTAGGGGCATATCCGACCTATGTAAATTGGATAAGTTTAATTAGGGAGGAAACTTGACTGATAAGCGCAATGGTAACCAGGTAAAACCCTTGTTCAATAGTTGGTTAACAAAAATTAAGTTAAATACAAGGTATAGAACCTAAATATCTTTTATTGGTCCTAAGAGTTTTTATTATTATTTTTTTAATAGAATATATTGAGAATAGTTCAACATCAACATATTCAGTCCTCTTATACAATCAATTCAAGAGGACGAAACCGCAGCTCAGAATTATTCCGTTATAAGGATCTCAATTGGAATTGAATCCAACAACCTTCCAAAAAAACTTTTCGAACCGATTATACTAATTTCTTATTCAATTAGTTACTCATTTATCATCAATAGCCTGCATAGATCCTGTCAGCCTATCTTATCCTCTATAAAATAGTCCGTCCATGTCATTGACATCCAACCGTTTTTTAAAATATACTTTTACTTATTCATTTATCAGACATCTCTTTCTCTTTTATGGTAATGTTTTTTCAGACAGAAGGTTGAAGTCCATATCCCTCACCCATCATCCCAGATATGAATAGAGTGGCTCAAAGCTCACCTTGGCGTGCTCTACGGCAAGTTCCTTACAGAAAAGCCGACAGTCTACCAACAATAACTGCTACTAAAAAACAGTAGGAGTAGACTAAATATCTGCTTTATAGTCCGCCTACAGCCATTACTCAATTACCCGAGCAGACATCAGGTAGCTGAGGTCGTTAGGGGCACACGCGAATATCCCAGAGAGTATCAAATTTCAAATGAGAAGGCGGGGTAGTTCTTGGGTGGCCGAGCCCTCAGGTAGTCTTTCATATAGTAATATCCTCAGCCAGTTTGTATAAATTAGAACTCGAGAGTTTGAGGGGAAGGCGATTTTCAGCTAAACGATATCTTGTTAGCTAAAAATGACTTAAGTTAACAAACTTAAAGACATGGATAGCATTCTTCAGATATTAATCTGAGAATGAGGTCAAATGAGAATGAGTAAAAGTTGTTGAGAATTGCTGGAACATTAAACCTCACACTTGGCCAAAAGCTAAAGTGAAATAAGTAAATTAATAAAATTATCATGTTTATACTATCCATGCTATTATACCAGTAAATAAAATTTAAAAAAAACACACACATAGTGTTATGATCATAATATCATAACACACACACTTTTTGTTCAGCTATACCCATTTAAAAAAATAAATTAAATAAATTAAATAAAACTAATATTTCAGAAGCTACTCAGTTATTGCTGGAAGATTTAAACCTTGTTCCATAAATCTGTCTCCTTCGTTGGTTGCTCAATGGAACATATGGAACAACATGATGAACCCGCCATTTTGAATAAATCGGTTGATTACTAAGAGAGCGTTAATATTTTTTTATTAAAACATAAACATTTACTTTAATTTTTAAAATTGCCCAGGCTCCCAAATAGTCAAATGATATAGGCATTCCACTCTATGGAGCCACCTTACTGTACAAAAGAGTACTCCAAACTTTTTGACATGTGGG